AGACATTAATCTTATTCTAATCAATCGGGTTAGCTCAATTTGTGCAGCTATTAGTTATAAAAAAATAATTGAAATAATACAAATACTGGTAAAGGGACACGGTGAGACGCCTCAGTAATAAAGCAGATATCTTCTTGTATGAGAGTGCTGGGATCGACTTATCATTTATTTATTTAGATTTGACTAGCAGCTCCCTCTGTTCATACACCTTAGACTCATGTGCCGTCAATCACAGTAGATAAATTGGCTTTCACTACCAAAGAGTCATAATGGCCTATTTTCCCCTAACAATATAATGAAATCAGACGTGTGAGTCCAGCGTCGAGGCATCCGGAGTTCATTAAAGCAGGAATCCTAGCCTAGGCAAACAGCTAAAAAGTCCCGTTGCTTTTATACCATCCTTGAAAATAATCAAAACGGGAAACCATAAATGAAAACAAAAATATGTTTGTCGCTGATTGACTATGCAAGACAGAGGTGTTTATGCACCTTCGGTCTGATAAGAATTCTTTACGAAATGCATATCTATCACAATGAAGTGCGGCCGATTTTCTGACTTGTATGAGTAAATGCTGATAAGCAGGAGTACGTGGAATTCCATTATTTGCGGTGCTGGTATTTATTCACACTTAACGGAATCCATGCTTCTCATTAGAGCACGAAAAACTATTAAGCATGAACAACAATTTTGCATCAGTAACTGTAAATTTTGTCTTCAAACTAATGCAAAAAATTGGCGGGAATTGGTTAATACTGAATTACATTTACTTGACGTTGTTATTGTTTCCAGATCACCATGATCGAGCCTCCTCCCCCACCCTACTTTCCGTTTTAATGCCTGATTCAACTTGGCGTTAAACCTATTCATCCTGATGACTTATCAAGCTGATAGATACAAATATCGTTGGAGAAAAAAAAAAATTCGTAGTTTGCAAAAATTTCAATGCTATCTGACTATTAGCGCATAAAATCGGGTCACTCCTCTGCCACAGCGGCTGCTATTAGCACGTGCATCCGGGTGAAATTGAATTCTCTTGACAGGGGCAAATTGCTGATTAATGGACCCTTCTTGGGTCCCGACGGCAGGGAAGTGTCTCACATCTCCATGTATGAGGAAAATCACTTGTGAAATAAATTGAGGCAATTCATTATGGGCCAAGTGCCTCCTCTCTAGCTACCATCAGGGAGTGATTATTTACGTTGAGCTGGTGTGCTCATGGCTCTCCTCAACTGAGCAAACAAAACTTATTGTTGCTAGTCGCTTTCCAGGGGATGAAAATGGATTTTGTTTAGTACTTTAGAACCAAGGTGAGGAAAATCTACTTGTTTTGGATAATATCAGTTGCACACAATGACTTGTTTTAATGTCACAATTTACATTTACAAAGTTGAGTTTCATTTTGTCACAAATTGCTGCAGGTCAGTGTCTTCGTAGGCTCGCAAGATGCACTGCTTGGCTGAACTTTAAAAATGGTGATTATTTTACGCTACAAAGGGTAAATTCGGCGATCACCCCAATTACAATCCAGAATTGGTAAGAGCTTTTGTTACCTATGGAACGGGAAGTCCAGAAACTTTTTTCTGGGCTTGAATTAAGGTAAAAGAAATGGTTAATTTTGTTTCAGAAAATTAGTTTCAAATAGCACCGTGCTTTCCATCAAAAAATGTTTCGTGCACAAATTAAAACTCCTTCTTTAAAAATTATTTGTTGTTCAACAAGCTTTGAGTGACTTTCGATTTCTCATGAAGCATAAATGGTTTTTCTCCTACATATTTGAGGAAATCTTGCATGATATCACCATTATAATTATAATAAAATTAAAATCCAAACTTATCAGTGCTTTGTGTTTCATTTTGCAACTTTCGTAGGGTTTTACCTATTTTTCTACAGGAACTTTAGAGGCAGCAGGGTTTAAAGTTACTAAGTCAAGGCTTACCTTTGGTTAGAACAGCAGTTTTAAATTCAAGTCAAAGTGGTCTTCTTATTACCATTAGCTCACTTGTCAAAGTTGCATAAATAACATTAGTTTGGTTGGATTGCCCTTTTATTAATTTGTTTTTGCTCGACATCCAAGAGTTTTCGACAATTAAAAGCTTTTCGTGTAAGCCCTTATCTTTTCCTGCTGCAAAACTGTGGAAGGATACAAGAACTATTGACAAGTACCGGCTTTTTAAAATGAAAGTCATGATTGTGAAATCCGTGCTCACTTCTATCCTCAGTACAATCGTCCTCAGTGAGTAAAACGAAGCCATAATCGTCCGTTTGTCCCGTGTGTTCCGTTACGTTAGGAAGGGATTCATGATAGGAATTCCAGAGGTGTGGTATTCGTTCAATGTGGTTTTGTAGAATGCGATCGGGATCGGGCATTACTTCCCCGTTATTGAAGGCCGCTTTCGGAAGATATTTTTGGAGTCGCCAACGTAGTCGTCGAAGCGCCAGCCAGGACTAGTATCAGAGAGGAAATAATGACATGTAGAGACGAATAAACAGGAAAATTGTAGGTGTACTAGCTAAAAAAATGCATGGGATATTTTGACATCCGGGATTGTGTGCAGAACAACTAAGGAAATATTTGGCAGATTGAGTCAGTTTTAACATTACACTGACCGATAATTGTGTCGAGACCTTCTCTGTGGGTCAACTGAGACCTGTTAAATACATTGAACGCTTTTCGTTTTCGTTTTCTCGTTTTCAGTCCTTCAAAATTCCGTGTGTGTTTGAGTTCAGTTGACCATAACCTTTTCAAATGTTTTATTTCACAATCACATAATTTATGAAAACCGATTCCTGTAAAGAAAGTACTTAACTTTCTGTTTCTTGTACTGAGGATCGTCCTTCATGGTGACGTCTTCGATCATGAAAAGTGGACTACTTAATTCCATATTTGAACGTGGGATCCAAATCTACTAATAACCGAAGGCATCTGCAGCTAATGTGGCTGTGGTGTCAAACATATTTACTCTTTCAAAATTTTGATTCCTGAAAGAAACTGCATTAACTAATTTTGAAGCAGTCTTTATTTTATCCCCACTATTCACAATATGTTTGCTGACAAAAAAATCCTTGGATTGTACTAAATCTTAAATCGAACCGTTTAGTTAAGCATGCATATAATTAATAAAAATAACGAAAAAAGTAAGGTCTAAGAGGCATTTGGCAATTTACACACATTTAAAGTCATATCAACGTGGTGATTGTTCTAATGTGGAAAAGACTGAAACTGTGACTGGACGCCTCTAAATATATGAGAATTTCCTGCTTACTCCAACGGTAGACGCATCCACCCTGATACGTAAGCCGGATTTTTGTTTAAGAATTTAGGTAATGTTTTTTCATAAATTTAGGGTTCTCGTTATAAAACATTAGGTGAATTTATCATTGAATAGTTTTACAACTCTTCCACATGCACCACAGCGCATGCTCTTTGTGAGTTGTGAGAAAACCATACATGACTGCGAAGGATAGATTTTGAAAGATTCCTATTGGAATGGTCAGGGGCGATCCGGCGTTCATTATTGCCAGATGATGAATTCATCCAACGACCCCACTTGCTAGCCGTTTTCCTTTGTGTAATTGTAAAATCAGGGATGCTCTTCGATCGAGCACAGAGTTGCTTCCTAAAAAAGCGTAATTCATTCACTGACTGTTGCTATAAAAACAAATGCACCACCTTCGACTTTTTTGCTGAAAATTGGAGCTTTAGTAGAAGTAAGGGGTTAATGAAGGGTTAATGGTTAGGCCCTGTAAGAAGATAAACACGTATTCTGCGAACTTATTTGTTACTATTGTCACTAGTGGTTCTAACTAATCCAGTGACGTCAATCGTATGAAATGCTTAAAACTTGCTACATTTAAGTTGTTCCACAGTGAAAAATTCTGACAACTTACGACCGTATGTCTTGCATCCTACTCTAGCAGTTGGATTTCGCTTGCAAATTAATAAACAATTGTGGGCAGACTAGAAGAGACTTAGTTGAGAGTGACATGATGGCCAATGAGGACGCAGTCACCTCCGGTGTATTTCTACCACGCATGACCATCCGATTGGTCGTCTTTGTAATGGCGGTCGTTGGTTGGCTAAAAATGAAGACGGAAGGGTAGCCTTGGCCTTATCCACAAAACGACAATCTTTCGTCGTGCCCTCATTATTTATATTTTCTTGAAAGGGGCAATGAAGCACTTGATATACAATGTTTTTGCCAATATGGCCAACCTGTGAGAGGCAGTGATGAGGAAATTTGATTCAGAGCGTAATTTCTACCTTGAAATCATGTCCCCGTATTTTGAGAAGAAACCAGTCATCATGCAGTTTTCAAAGACCATTCTCTTATCGCTAAGACTTCTTGGCGTCTTTACATGCATCTGAAAGAATGTACAATACCAACTTAAGAGGCAGATTTTGAAAGAAGGGAGTGTACTGGTCTTCAAAACCTATCATTCTTTAAGGGAGTGGCGCTAGATCAGGATATTTGATCCTGCCAGAATATGAAACGAAAGACAAAATGTCGCGTAGAGGGGTTTGGACAATGCGTGGTTCGCCGTTCCTAAACTTGAGTGTCCATTCTAATTCTCCCTTTATAACGAATTTTCGATGATGTATTTAACCATCTCAAAAGGTGTATATCAGGTAAAGAGTGAATGGATTCGTCTCTACGTCACATCTTTTGCAAACGAGCACAGGTTGAAACTGAACGGATTACGCTTTTGGTTTTTGCGCATTCTGAAAATAGGTGGGTTCTTGACCAATTTTAACATCGGCCACGTGAGCAAGTAAGGGAAAGTGGGATACAAATAAAATGGGCATTAATTTATTTAAAATACTTCTAATAACAGTTTTACAGCAAAAAAAAGAGGAGCAACTTAGCAGAACTCTTTAACGTGCTTGCATTTTGATGTCTACGTCTTTAAACTGCAATTCTGCCTTGTCTAAAAAAGCATCGCATGCAATACGATAGTGGTTTATCCCCCGGTATTGATGAGGCGCCACTTTTGTACCTGGAATTAGCCCTCTTGTACCTGACTGGGTGGGCTGGCCTTCGGGCCATGCCAGTAGCCCTTAGACAACTTCTCTGTGCTGATTATGTATTCTGTCCGAGTATTGTGCCTTCTTTCGTCTTCAGGAGAGTCTCGGGACGCTAAATTTTATTCAGCATTATTGTCCAGCCTCACACCGCTTCTTGTACTATTTTATATCTTAACTGTACTCGACATCTTTCGACACACTTCATTAATGTTTGTGATATCGAGCTACATTTTAAGAGCGGTTAGTAATTATCAGTCTAGCGAGATTGACTTTGCATAACGTTTAAGAGAATGAGCTGTTTGTTTTGTAAGATTAGGTTAAATGCTCCTCATTCATGCTTTATAGTACATCGCAGCTTCGAACCTTTGAAAGAGTTGGAGATTCACTTCGAGTAACGAGCACCCTTACCGGCAATCTTTGCCAAACATGAATTCTCATATTTTAAGTTAGGACGTGCTCAGAAGCTAACCGTTAAAATCCCACATTTGTTCATGCAGTCGTGAACTCAAATGAAGATGGCCGCTAACAGCCTTTCTAGCAAGTGGCCTCAACACAAATTTACCTCTACCATCAAAACAAGCATTTAATTTGTCATGTTACACTTTAGCTGGAACTATTAAACGCATTTAATATCATGAAATATAAAAACAAGGACATGAAAAATTTATAAAACGCGTTAGAAGTTCATCTATCTAATTATGCGAAAAAAGTTATCTAATCTAGGGAATGGCTAGGTTCTGAGGCCTTTCAGACAAGGTATCGTTTAAACGGGACTGCGGATTTCTTAGTTCAGTCCCACAGATCCATCTTATCCGAACACTTTTAATCCAATGCAAGTTTTGTGCAAAGTCGTAGGGAATTTTGAAAAAATAACAGAAGTAGAAGAATTACCAAAGGTAATGATTTGTTATCAGGCCTAAAATTCAATGAGCCACGCGCTACATCCAAAGTTAATGTAATTGGACATCGTTTAGCTACGAAATTATGATCGAATGCACCCGGTGGCATTGCTTTATTTAGGAAATTATGTGAGCTAAGTTAAACTCTACTGTAAGAAAACATATTTAATGATAGAAATTATCTTAAAGATTTATCCGTCACACATACCCAGTATAAACTGGAATCGTTTACGTGATCCTCCTACCATACCTATACACCTCTAACCTCCATATGCTCGGGTTCTGCATTTTTCTCCTTAGCGATTTGGTACACTAGGATCTCACGAAAGACTCTGGATTCTACAATCTTTTAAAATGACCAAAAGGTGCAGCACTAGTAAACCAATAATAGGGCTAAGCAGCTGGTCGCATAAAAAGGAGCGGAATCTCATGATTAATAAACGAAATGAAGCACCTGACAAATGTCAGTTCCGGCGATGACTAATCATTAGACCTCATATTATATGTTCCGAAGACAAAATAAAGTGTTGTGGGGGACCAAGTTCAAATTGTAAAGGGTTAAATTTGAAATACATTAGCACAAATTCAGGAAAGTAGGCTGGATAAAAATTAAGTTTACAAAGTCACAATATATCAGGAAGCTCAGCTCAAGAAAATGTGTAGCTTACCGAAGTTGCTTAATATTACGTTTAATTGTACGCTTAACTGATGGGACACTGCTGACACACCAGCTGAGTTTCTGCTCTGCATCGTGGTCTTTGGGTCATGCCAACAGCCTATCATAGCTTCTAAAACATGTAGACCGCTACGCTTACATAATAGGAACGTACCAAAGTGATCAAAAATATAAGCTAGTGAGAAACTAACAATTTTACCAGCGTTAAGCATAACCGGTAGGGGCTTCAAGAAATGGTGGTGAAGTGCCGTTGAAAAGAGCGATGAAAAAGAGAGATACAGCACTATAAAAAACTTAGCTTACTAAACTTAAACAGAGAATTATTTGAATATCCTAGGACAGAAATTTAGGGACATGTTGGAACCCCCATGCTTGTAGAACCCAATAAACACCAGAATACACCCGCGCATTAACATCAAAAATTATGCGTATAGCCATCCTACCATTTTGACAACTTAAGTCCAATTTGACCATACAAAATACAATTTCCCCTTTGGGTGCGTTATAACTTATCACTTTCAAAAGCGTTAATTTGATGCTATGGGGCTATTTGCAGGAGCGTGTGAATAGGGTTCGTTACTGCTGCTATAATTCAATGGATTACTTTACAGTCTTCAAGTTTATTTCACATGGAGTGACTTGTACAGGCCTTAGTTTGATCACAAACAA